TAAGGGTCTCTGACTTGTACAAAACCTTTTTTTTTTTTTGCAATTCTGTTATGTAGATGTTTTAGTAAATCAAAAACAAAAATATTTATTTAGGTTGTCGTTAGGTGAAGAAGAGATTGGATACTTTTTACTTTATCTATAATTTTTAAAGAAAAAAAATCATACACTATTTATTTTGAGATTTGAATTAAGATTATACCAAAAAGTAATAAAATAAGAAAAATGAATAAAATAGGAGAAAATAATATATAAAAATTAAATGAATTTTTTTTTATATTATTATATATAGGAGCAATTTTACTTACCTTATAAGTTTGCATAGACTTCAACATGCGATAGAAACCAATGGAGATAACGCGAACCTGGTGACGTTGACGTGCAGCTGGATTAAGATTCATATATGGCATGATGTACTGCTCAAAGTGGTCTTGTGGTGTGTAAGCGGCCAATTGAACAATCTGTAATATATAATTGAAAAGAATTAATCAGAATGGAAAGAATTTTTAATAATGAAAAGAATTAATAAAAATTTTAAGACAGATTTTTTTTTTTTTGGATAATTTACCTCATCAATTAAACGACGTCCAGTAGTATCGATGTCAATGCCAACCAAAGTATATTTGCCAGATGGCAATATCTTAGTAGAACTAATAAGAATATCATCAGAACCAGCTGATGGTGCTACTTGAGTAGCTGGACTATCACCAATATTTGCATGAACCATTTTGATTTTTTTTTATTGAAAATCAAACTGTGAAGAAGAATTTAATATAAACACTAATTAATTAGTTTTATATGTATATTCAATATATGTATAAAAAAAAATTACGGATAAATTACACGAATAATTTTACACTTCGGTTATGCGTATACACTGGCAATACTTCGACAAGTTTTTTTGCACATTCGAACGTGGAAATCTAGCTAAAGTCTGGACAGTGTAGACGCCAAGATAAATACATTTGCTTTATTATAAAATAACTATGACTTTATGGGTTCTTAAAAAATATGAAATAAAAGGGGATCTATATAAAAGTAAGCGACACAGGCATAAAATATTGTATATTATATTTTTCAATATAAGCGCATATACGTGTTTTATTAACATATATTTTAAAATAAACTATTAACAGTTAGTATTTTTAAAAAAATTCATTTACATTAACAATTATTAACAACTTATAAATGAAATAGCAGTTTGTGTAGTAAAAAATTTTCTCTACAAAGTTGACAGTTAACGGTTCACCTCAAAATTGCAGTAAAGAACAAAATGGCTGCCAAATACGAGAGCCCGCAATATTGAAAAGATTTTTTTTAAGAAATAATAAAAACTAAAAAATTTTTAACAATTTCAACTAATTTATTATTATTTTTTTTATATAATTTCAATTAAGGAAACAAAAGCTTATGTTTCGATGGAAACTTTAAATTGATTTGTAAAGTTTGGTGAAGTCCCTGTTTCCACGAATGGCCAAAAAATACATTTTTATTTAATACATGAATTAAAAATAAGATTTTACTTACATTTATTGATATTTTTGTTAAATTAAATCAATTTCACTGTAAAAATGTAAAAATTTGCAATTCCGTAAGAAAAAAACTGAGGCTTTGAACTATTATTTCTCGAGCACAAACTGCAAACTCAAAAAGCAAACCACACTCGACAAGCTACTGAAAGCAACTGATTTATAATAGAATCGTAATGAATGTAGTAAATTTTTTTTTACGAAGTAAAACGAATAAATACGAATGCAACTATTAAGAATGTTCTAGATTTTTTTTTGACAATTAAAAAGTGTAGAAACAAGGATATGTATTAATACATATGTTTCTGTCTCTTTTTATCAAATACAAAATTAAATACTAATTTATGAAGAATTTTATTAATTATTAGATATTAGTTGTTAATTTGTTGTTGCATATTACTATCTTTAAATGAAAGCTTAAGTTTTATTTATTTTTTTTTATATAGAAATAATGATGTTTATGGTACTCTTACTTCTATTGGAAGGTAATAGAATGTTAACATAAAATACAATTCCAATAAGAAAATAAAATGGCAGCTGTCATGTTTGAAAAAAAAAATTAAAAATTAAACTGAAAAAAAAATTTTAAAATTTAATTTTTTTTATGAATTAATTTTAAAATAAAATTAAAAGTATAAAAGGACAAAACGCGCGTGATATTGCGTAAAATATATTTGGAGATATTTATTCGCTGCCTCAACTAAGTCTCCAAAGGACAATTAAATAGTTTACATCAATAAAATATATAGCTTTTTTTTTATTAATTTTTAATATTTAAGAAATTTTACTTATTAATAAAAATAACAGCGCCAAATAGCATTTAAATTCTCTATAAATCGCGAATAATACCAGATATATATGTTTAACATATTAAGAGTTCAATTTTACTTACCTTTAAATTGTTGCTTTCTGCTTTCTTATATTAGAAATTGAAAATTGTATGTTTTTCAAACAATTATCTGAAAGAAAAAATATGAATTTAAATAAGAATCAAAAAATTTGCAATTATTTTCTCAACTTACCGACTGAACAAAATAGTTCGAGTACCGTCGTAACGTTATGAAAAAGACAAACTTACTTAATGTATCTTTCCCTGAACTAAAAAACTTCTAAATGTACGCCTGCTGCACACAACGGTACGTACGGCACTTTTCTTAGTTGTTGTTTTTCTTTTATTTTTTCTATTTTGTTTTAGAGAAAAACGTTTCGGCTAAATTGTTGTCGAATTCGTTTGTTTACGTTAATAAATTTCCGTTGTTTTGCGAGCTAAGCTCTTTTCAAGTTGCAAGCAAACGTGTTTAGAGAAACGAAACCGTTCGAACAAGACAAAAAAATAAACTGAATTTTAATAATTTTTATTTGAGCAGGTCGATTTTTCAACAATTTTCAAAACCTACTTTGGTTCCTTAAAATTTACACATACATTAATTTTTTAATTTTGACATTACAGTAAAATAACTAATATATAAATAAAATTATTAATATACGTATAATATATATATATGTATATATTATATATATACATGTACATATATATATACATAAACTTTTAAAAATATAATTAGTTGAAAATCCCTTTACAATGATAAATAAAAAAACTTTCCAAAGAATTTACAAATTATTGGGAATTATTTCATCTTATTCTTGGAATCTTATTTTAAACTAATAATTTTAGGTTATTTAAAATTTTTTGTTTTTGTTATTCCAATTAATTCCTAAATCATTATAATAGTTTTTAGTTTAATAATTACCTTTGCTTAAGAAAATTAAATTTAATTTAAATCTTATAATTTCAAATTAAATCAAAACTGATAAAATTCGACAAACGTTGACTTTGTCACTCCACTTCTTTCACCAAATACGCTTGATTTGCTATTGAACTGAACTAACTGATAAGCGGTCGTTTATTTGACAATTAAAAACAAATGATTTATAATTAGTAATTCTACACTAATATTTCTACACAAAGCAACCATCCAATACAAAGCGTATACGCAAATTTTTATGATAAATAAAAATGTTGAACTTAAGGCCGTGCGCGAGTTTGAGTAAATTGATTGATGAAGTAAAATATGTCGGTATGGCAGCGAGTAGGATAAATTAAATAAAAAAATTATGTAAATTAGGTGTTACCATTGTGAACATTTTATAAGACGTTTAATAACTAAATAAATCATTTTTAATAGTCAATTTATATGAAACTCTATAAAAAAAATATAATAATACTGCATTAAACTGTTTTTATATTATTACAACATTATCAAGATAACAAATAACCGAAACATTAAAAGTGCAATTACAATTTATGTCTTAAACGAATCTGTTAGCTATATGTTATGTAGCGATCAAAGCTTTGTCAGTCACTACATGTTTTTAATTTATTAAAGTTTTTAATTTAAATCTAATGTCCATTTCGCACAAAAAGTTAACATTGAACTTCAAGTAAAAAAACTGTATGTAATGTCAAATCAAGAATAGCTGATAATAGGTTTGTTCCATGAGGTACTTGTAGTAACTTTGAGTAACACTGTATATACACAAGTGGGTTCCACCAGCAAATTTTCGAGTAAATGAGATCATCTGAGAGAGCGTTACTTCCCTGACGAAGTTTGAAAATGCTACATAGACTTTACTCATACATTTTATTTCAAGTAAAAGTTGTATGATGTGTGAATCAGCTGTTTTGGCTTGAATTTAAATTTTTGTATTGTTTATTTGCACGGCACTGGTGTTCTTACCAGACTTTACACAAAGGTGTTCCATGAAATATCTCCATCTACAATCGTGGTTACAACAACCCTTTGCATAGAATTTACTCTTAACAACTAATTACTATCTAGCAAGTATTACTATCTACTATCTATCATCATTTCTTTCCGTCATTTATCTACAAATTTTGCCTAAAAATATTGGTTCTCTAAATACTAAGCCATATGTACGCTAATGTCTGCCTTTCTCTTGATAACTGAAATGTGGCTTCAGCTTTTGATTTTAATGGTTCAACAGTTATAATTTGTCCATTTTGTATTCCTAAGAGTTAGGTTTATTGGGTCGAGGTCAAATGCTGTGGCTTTCAATGTTTTCCACTTACAGGAAAAAAAGGATTCGTTTTCATAAATTAGAACAGAAAAGTTATAAAATCTATTTGATTGTGTTAATATAAATAATATGTGTAATAGTTTGATAAATTTTTCTGTATTCGGTAAGACATCTGCTGATGTTTTGTTTCGACAGGTTTTGGTGCGGTTAGTTGTAATTATTTAACATTTGTGAAATTAATACAAAAATTTTATGAATTTTTTGCCGGTAAAAGTCATTAGTCATGATTTAATGAAAACATATGATAACTTGTTGGCGCTAGATCATATGGAATTAATATGAGGGAACTACCTCCCGTAAAATATACTAAACCATATTATTGTTTCATTAATGAAATTTATTTTAATTAAGTGTTTTCATGTGAGGTTCAAATTGATTTTCAAAAGAATCCTTTTAATTGACTAAATGTATATGCACTTGATGAATACTGGATTCACACGATATTTTGGATTGTAATTTTAGCTGTCATTTCAAACTCTTCATGATTTCAATAGCAAAACAAGTTCAAATCACGAATATTTGAATGAGAATGTTGACAACTGAAAATATGATTGAATGGTAATTTTTACAAAATCCTGTCAATTTTAATTTGTACAGTTCACTATAGTATAATACTGTGCAGTACAAATTTATGCTATTGTGAATAGTTTTGATAAATGCATGAAATTTCCATACAAAATGAAACAAAACTGTTATATATCATATGTATATATCAATGTATAAAGTCTTCATCATATTTAAAGTTATTTAAAAAGTGTGGACATATGATAAATCCAACAATCTAATTGCAATGAAGATTGTGAGAACCAATATTTTTGCTTTTTGCTTTCAGATGTAAGTTTAAAATTTTTAAAATAAAATAAATATAATCATAACTCTAAAAAAATAATCATAACTCTCGTGTGAGTCCAATTGTAAGCAGTAAATTAAAGTTTACTTTATTTCTATTGTAATTGGAATTATACCTATTCAACTTTTAAATATATGAATAAATTTATCTATATATACAAATATATATATAACTTTGAGTTTATATGTTAACTGACCTATGCTCAACGGCTTTTAAATGCAGTCGTATGTATGGGCTGCTTATTTATTGTCGTTTCTGACGGCTCACAAGTTTCTTTTTGGAATTATTGTTTTGCAAGGCAAATGTCACTTTACGTGCGACAAGTTCTTCCCACTACAAAGCAACCAAACAGCTCAACAGCTGGTGTTCTACGTCATAAAAAAATCAAACTTTTGAACTTTAGAGAAATCTTGGCAAATATTCCGAGTGCAACTGAAATCATATTAAAATACAATACTCGAATGTTATTTAGTAGAATATTGTATGTATATAAATAAATATAACACCAGATACCTCAAAAGAAATCAGAGCAAGCTGTTACATATTGACATTGATAAAAAAAAATCATTTGTGTGATAAGAGAGTGTTTAATTGATAAAAGCAATTACAAAATGCTTTCTTATATTAAACGTAAATTATCAGAGTCAGATAGTAGCACCGCAAACAATACAGTGTTCGGCGGAGCTCTAACGCGTAAAATACAACAAATGGCGTTATCGAATGAGGCAATACCGGTTGGTGAGGATGCGCTCCTACAGGAATTAGGCTACCAAAATGCTGATGATTTAAAGGAAACAATTTATGGTTAAAATTTTTATTTATAATTAATTTATGTTACATAAATGTTTTTATTGAAATTATTTTCTTATAATTTTCAGATATTCTGCGCAGTATACGTGACCCAGAAAAACCAAATACATTGGAGGATTTAAATGTCATATATGAGGATGGAATTTTTATTCTTCCACCAACAAAGGCAAATGTGTCCGTCGTAAGAATATAGTAAATTATTATTTAATAGATTTATTCTGATTGCGTTTTTGTTAAGGTGCGAATTGAATTTAATCCAACTGTGCCACATTGTTCGTTAGCAACTTTAATTGGTTTGTGTATACGTATTAAACTGGAACGCAGTCTGCCACATAATATTAAAATAGATATATATATCAAAAAAGGCGCACATACAACAGAAAACGAAAGTGAGTAAAGAAGAGTTTTATTTAAAAATTTTTATAAATAAGTGGAGTCGTAGTTTTGGTTCATCAATTAGACAAACTTTTTTGTATAAAAAATATGTTTGTCATCATCTTCAAAGTGTAACTGAAAAGTTATTTATACTGTTAAGATGATTTTTAAAAAATGAAGTCTGGATTTTATAAATATTTTGGTTGATATATACAGCCTCGGTTTACTTTTATTACCGTGAACTAATAGATCAAATAAATTATAATATTTCTTCCAGTACTTCTATTAAAAATAATATTCTAAAAGTGCTAAAAGTTCGTGCAAATGAATATGTACACAATATAGGAATTATATAGTATTATTAAATTAGTGAAACAATGACATCTGTCTTTTTGTATCGTTTTGTTTTATTTAAATAATTATTAATAACCATATATACGTTTAAAATATTTTTCTACTCTAAAAAATACAAGAAACAATGACATCTGTCTTTTTGTATCGTTTTGTTTTATTTAAATTAATTTTAATAACCATATATACGTTTAAAATATTTTTTTACTCTAAAAAATACAATGTTTAAAAGTAATTAATAAAGTAATTTTAAATTCCCACTTATTTAAATATTTATTAATTTTATTACTACCTATTTAAAAAACTCTTCTCTAGTTTTCTCAACTATGATTTAAACATGGAACATTGTCGTGGTGTTAAATCCACAAATTGTTTTTGGAAAGCTCAGGCTTTTTCGCATTTACGTTAAACTTGTAAGTTAGTAGTTCTTATTCACTGTATGATCAGTTTTTGAAATATCTTAATGAATTATTTGATTTTAAACAAATAAAACAGTTTATATATGACTAGTTTGGTGTTGGCTTTTTGTCTCAACTTTCATTCATATCCTCTGGTTACATCAGCAGTTGTAACGAGTTCAAGTACATGCCGCTATTTTAACGCAAAAAGTTTTTTGTCTTAACTTTCATTTATATATTACTGTTTCGTCATCGTTTTAGTATTTATAATTCTTGAGTATTCACTCTTTATAATACGTTTCAGTGTCGTCATCTTAACACAAAGCAATCTTTTTCTCAATCTTCTCTCCCTTGGAGGAATGAAAACACATATTAATTAAGCTCTGAAAATAAATACAGTTATTATATTGATCAGCTGGCTATATGGCTTCCTTTTAGTTAATTTTGTTATAAATAGTTTCTATTTTGCTATATTTCAAATATATTGTTAATAGCGTTATATACGGCTTTATTTCGTAAAAAATGCTGCTCTGTATGGTTTTGCATTATCTTCAGTCTTTCATATTAATTATATAAAAAATAGTTAATACTATTTTTTACTAAAGCTATTAAATGAACAAACCAGGTCTTTTTAATACTCTCAACAAATGTTCGAAAATGTTAATGAGAATGAATTAAGATTGTCATTTTTTTAAAGCATTTGTTCTTTAAACCTCCAAATATTTTATTCTAGATATTTTTAACTTTTTTCCACGTAACATAAGTGCCACATATTATATTTTCATTTATGTTATATATTATATTATAAATTAAGTTACAAGTAGGTTTATTATAAACATCAAGTAAGTATTCTTGACTGCACATTTTTACTGTTTCGGACATCCATCTACATTCTAACCCATGAATTTGTCTTGTTAATCCTTTCATGTTATCTGCTTTTACATCTCAGCGAGTTACAACAACATTGTTTTGTTATTTATCCCCGTGCACGACTTAAACCTCTCGGTCTAAACTCTCGCACAACCTTAAAGGGCCAGGCATTAAATGTACTTAAAATATGGTCAGCCCAAGCTTACTTTCTTTTTTTGTTATATTTTTATATTAGTAATTTTGGGGTTTTTTTTTGATTACTTTATTTCTGATGCAATCTAGTCTTCTTTTTGCAACGATAGATCGAAGAGTATGAAATCCTGTAGTATGAAGAATTTATTTTGTTTTTGATTTTGAAACTCACACTTCAATATCATTGAACAAAATAGACCTTATCACTTCTTTGTAAATATGCATTTTATCTTCCGCATTCCATAGTATTTTAATTATTAATTTTTATAATTTAAGCTTTTCAAAAACGTTCACTTAAAGCAAGTAAATAACTTAATATCGGTATAGGTCCAAATATAACGTATTATGTAATAATTTACCAATTCAACTTATTTTTAATTTATGATATATTTAATTTATTTAATCAATTAAACTGTTTTATAAAAATGAATAAATTCCCAAATTTTGTTCAAATAATAACTTTAAAATATTGTAGATTGTATTCTTTCGCCGTTTGGAATATTAAAATTAATATATTACAATTAATAGTTTAATCACAGATTAGCGGTGTTATTGAACAGTAAAAATAGTTACTTAGCAAGCATTCTACTATTAGATCAATATTATAGACGGATTAATAGACAATCCGTCTTGTCTTGTTACGAGGAAGACAAGACAAGACAAGACTTGTACGTCGAGGACTAGATAATGGGTTCAACCATTACAATAGCAACTACCTAATAGTGTAAATTACTTTTTCAAAAAAATTTATTTTCATAAAGAAGATTTATTGAAGCATCATTATTTATAAAATTAAATAACTCCTTTAACTCTTATAGCTGTCTGACCCCTAGATATGTTGAATACCTTTTCTTATCCGGTTAAAAAAAATTGTGGAATGGCTCTGAGACTTCAACCCTATGCTCCATATAATTATTTTATTTTTCACTATATATTTCCTTTTATGAGTTATCAGTACAGTTTTATTTGTACTTTCTCCAATTTCCAATCTCCAATTATTTTTCTAGTAGTGTCTTTTCGATAATCATAATTTATTTTTGTTTTTTAAACTAAAGAGTTCTGATTTTAAGTTCTTCTTTTTAGTCCCACTTTTCTTAATGGCACTTTGGGTTGCGACGATCTTTTTAAATCTCATTCCCTTTAGTGCTTTGTTATATTTATCGCTTCATATATATCTTTCGCTTCGGGCATTTCCTTTTCTACTGTTCATTTTCGAATCATAAACTGCCTTTTGAATTTACTGGCCAAGATCAGACTGATCACAGCACAGTTAACTTAGATCTTGGGTAGATAGAACTAGAAAAATTTGTGGAATTTTTTTAAAGTATTTATTTTTCTATCTGCTAGTGTGACTAATACTTTATATTGACAATATGATTTGTCGGAAAAATTCGTAATGAACGATTCTGTTCCAGTCAATAGTCAAAAATGCGGTTAGAACAGAGTTTTTAATCTATTCTGTGTTGTTGTAATGACGGCATGTCTTTATGTACATGACAGATAATATGAAAGGAATTAGAAATTCGAATACATGCGTTAGAATATTTTATACGAAATATGAAAAAGTACTTGGTTGGAATTAGGATTATTTGGGAACACAAGTGGATTAGCAACGGATGAGATTCTAATTGAAACCAACCTGTGCTAAGGTAAAGAAACCTAGCCACTTCAATAAGACAGAGCCAAAGCAACCTCTTTTATGGTACTCCACATTTATGGATCTAAAAAGTGTATGTGTCCATTCGTCAGTTTCAATGTGTTACAAATCCTTCTGAAAAAATTTTTATCACTCAATAAACAAGTCCCGCTTGGGAAACATACTTACCTTATTGGCAGTGTAACTAATACATGAAAGAACTCTATTAACAATATACAGCGCGACATGATTCTATTGATCATTATTAGTAAAAATTACTAATGAACTATATATTTAAATAATATTCAGCTTTAAAATAGATAATGTTTTAGGTTTTTCTCGTAAATTTCAATTTCGACTTTTAATTAAACCAGTTTTGAATAAAATAAAAAAATTGTACTTAGAATTGAAAACGCAGAATCTTATGAAAATGTTAAATTTAAGTTCAAAAAAAGTACATGTCATATGCTAAAAATATGGGACAAATTTTTTCACGAACCCCTCCTAAATAGTGCTATCGTTTTTTTAGCCCTAAAGTTGGCCATCAAAATCAAAACTCAAACCTGGTTTTTTGCGTTAAGCTTTTACTTTCCTTAAATAATTTATAATATCAGACTACTGTGTTCTGATATTAGGAACGCTATGTATGCACTCTTAAGTTTGGTTTCCGGTATTTTGACACGGGATTTAGCTTTTCAAATCAAAATTCAAATCCGGTTTTTCACTTGTGGTTTATACAAGCTATCCTTATTCAATATTTATATTTTGAGTATATATATACTAAGATTGCCATGAAGTAAGTAGGTTGTAAATTATATCTTTATAAGTCTTGTAAGTTAGATCGTGGTTATGACTTCCATTGTATACTAAATTTAATGCTATAGCCAGGAATAGCGTTAGCGATAGTGTCTCAATAGATGGTTGTAATATAGAAGTTTCCTTTACAAAATCTGACTAACCAAAATAATACTATTGAAATATAATAATATAGGAAGTGTTTACGATTTTATTAGTTACTATAGAAATTCAGAACTTGAAAATATGCTATGAAAGATTGTCTGCACATATATATGTCCATGCCTTATTTAATACATATGTTTGAAGGGGGTATGGTTTGCCCAATACTAAGATCCAATACTAAGTGAGTGATTTCTTCTTGTTGTTGTTGAGGTGACCCAATGGGGTCTTAAAGCAGATAACTTGAAACGTTTTACAAGACAAACACATGGGTTGGGATGTGATGGAACACATAACATAACAAACACATAACTGTTTGTAAAATAGCTTTGGGAGGTGGTGAACGGTACTTGGTCGTCGTGGTTGAGGAGCGGTTCCGGGGTTTAGACCCGCCTGTTCATGAAACCAAGTGATTTCTTCACGAACAAGTTTTACATCAACATTTTCCAATAATACGATCTTATGGATATCTACTGAGAACGGTGGAAGAGTGTCAATTTTTTGATTTAATATGTTTGATGATATTTTAATGAAGAATATTTGATCTGTAGGTATTCGTTAATATAATACTTCTATTAAATTCTTTCTATGCAATTTTTTGCATAAAGACAAGTATAGACTTGTGATGAATACTGTTGTTGTGCTAACCCACGGGGACCTACAAGCGATAACCTAAAGGTTTTATAAGAAAAGGTATGGGAAAGGGAATTAAGTTAGAAGGGGTGGATTGGGAATGGTAGGGATTTCTTGTAATGAATAGACTTCTTTACTTAGAAAAATTTCGGTGAAGCCGAGTGATGAGTGATGGTATGAGAGAGGGGATTAAGTTGGAAGGGGTGGATTGGTAGTGGAAGTGATTTCTTGTGATGAACAAATTTTTTTGCTTGCTTGAACTGATTATTATGAATATTATGATTATTTAATACAAATCAATATAAAAATTAACAAATTTCATGTTTTACCTTTCAGTAAATAAACAAGTCAACGACAAGGAAAGGATAGCAGCTGCGATGGAAAACCCCAATTTACGGGAATTAGTTGAAAATTGTATAAAAGACGAGGATTAGTTTTGGATAAGCTATAAATAATTTTAAGTTCTAGTTATTTAAATATTTAAATTATAAGTGAATATAGGAATTTTGTGTTAAAATGATCTGGTGATCCGTTATGAAAATCTGTTTTGTGTGGTGCTACTGAAAGTAAATTTGTTGTATGTCATTTAATTGCGAAAATCTTGATTATATTTTTTATAAATCCACTTCAAATTAAATAAACAAGAAAATCTAAAAATGATTCAATTAAAATTTTTTTCTATATTAAATGTATTAGCTGTTCACTTTTATAACTTGATATTTTCCTGTTGAACTCTTAAGTGTATTATCAAAGTAGTGTTCTTTAAGATAAGTGTCTAAAAGTGGAAGCTATTAGTAATTTATCAATAATAAAGTTAATGATTTACAGGCACACCGTGTGCACCCACATAGCCATAACACAATATGGCCGAAGTTCGGCCATGATTGTAAAAATTCCGAACGTTGCGATAATGACACCACAACGTCATCAGTTTCACGTTTTCAAAGTAATTGATTTGCTGTGTCTTATCAACTAAAAAAAATGTAAATATTGTTTATGTATGAATCTTCTACTTAATGTTAATTTTAATCAGTTCACTTATCGGTGAAGTTTGTACAGTGAAGCAAAGCAAAAAATATGTTAACACTTTGTTGTCGAAGTAAATGTGCAGTGCATTTATTTTGTTGCTGACATTTGCATGTGTTTCTCACTTTAACGGAATAATGCAATCAGCAAATGCAATTTCCGTTTCCGCTGCTGGCGTTATTTTAATAAAATTTCACAAAAGAAAATATGCACATTCACACCTACAGCGACATTGCAATTTTGTGGCAAGTAGCGTTTTGTTGCAATTTAAATTTACACGCCATTAAAAAGAGGTTAATGTTTCCCATCAAAACTTTTTTGTTTTTATTTTTTGGTTCTTTATTCCTTTATACCTTTTATTATTATTTGGTGAACTGCTCATGCTTGCTCGGTAATTTTTTACAAAATTTTTAGTGCAGAAAAATTGTATTAACATAATTTTTCAAGCAGCTGTTTAAGTTCCTGCAAGAAAGTTAAATCTGATGTAAATAAAACATTTAGGAGAACTGAGAGAGGTAAGAGTAAATAGTCCAAAATATTGTAGTTTATTTTGTAAGTTCTTGCCAGTGACGTGAGTTACAGATTGTTTCCATTGGTATATTTATGTAACATGAAAAGCAGAACTCTGGATATGGTTAGAAGTCTTCATCGGTGGCCTGAGAGGTGTTGGAAAGGATAAAACGGCAACTAGAAAAGAAGTGAGATCCACAAAAGTTGATATGAAAAAGATTAGGTAGTGCGTAAAAGCAATTGAAGTATAGTTAGAGTTAAGAAGTAGTTTTCCCACCTCAACAGGACGAAGTCAATAGACAATTGGACTCGATTGGAAGTGTGCTAGTCGAACAGATGAGTGTAGTAAGTTTTAATTTGGGGCACTTATTGAGAATATATATATATGGGCTTAAGTCTGACCATTAAGCCTATGGATATAGTTTCATCTAAATCGGACAAATGGAGTAGGGTGGAGTTGCAATTTGGCGCACATATTGAGAATAAGGGGGCTTTTGTTTGATCACTAACTGTTGAGGACATGAATATAGTTTTATCTAGGTCAGATACTTAGAATGGAGTAGAGTTGCAATATGGTATATATTTTGATTATCGGATATAGTTTAATTTAATTTGGATATATAGAGTGGAGTAGTATAGTATTGTAGTTTTAGGCACATATTGAGAATAAAGTGTTTTTGTCTGACGACTAACTATTAATGACATGAATATAGTTTCATCTAAGACAGACAAGTACATTTCTTGGTGTACGGAGAAAAAATCGGGATATCCGTAACAAGTAATTGTTTAGTACGAGGGTATATCTTAAATTACATTGGACCAGGATACATATTACTGCATGTGAAAAAATTTGATTTATCTACCTACTTGTCAAGGCAATTTATTTTTGTAACATCAAAGGACTATAAGACATTTAACATCAGATTACAACTATTTGAGTTATCAAAGATTCTTAACATTCCATAACACTACATATCTAATCCCAAAATTATAAACAATCGAATTATAAAGTTAAAAAAAAACAAACCTTTACTATTAGTTATTTTTTTCTTTATTATTTCTAATATATAATATACTTAAATTGAGTTAGTGAATGCAATAGATTAAGATAAGTACGACATGGTTTCATCTGTCTTAATTATTATATATGATTGAAAACAACAATAATAAGAAAGAACAACGACTTCAAAACAATATTAATATCAGTATTTAATATAATAACATCTAACAGCTTAAATATGTGACAGATCCAATTGTTACCATAAACTATTAAACATTATGTCTTGACCTAAGTTTTTATAGATCAGTCATATTCCTTTTGTATCTTCAGGTAAGGATGAAGATAACTATAGAAAACAGTCAGGTGGAGAAGAAGATAACTATAGAATATAATCAGGTGAAGATGAAGACGACTATAAAATATAGTCAGGTGACGATGAAGACGACTATAGAATATAGTCGAAACATTTTTTTAAAAAGGTAGAATTAATAATTGATCCATTAGTCCGTTTCAAAAACAAAATTATAGTCTTTGAAATTTTAAGTAGATCGCTTCTTGCACTAAGAACTTGAATTATATTATTTTAATGGCCTTATTAAATGATGGTCCATTTTTGTGAATTAAAGTACATATAATTGAGGGATTGATAAATATCCTCAGGTGTGAAGTAATGGATCCATGTATTAACAGTTGTCACTACTCGACGCTCACAGTCAGCTAAATTTTACGAGTTAGGCTAAGTTGCGTTCTAAATGAGGGAAATTCTAAGTTGTGCCGATAATGTAGTCATGTGTCGTTACGTGTTGATAAATGGCTAAATGTATGTAGTGCAAAAAAAATCCCAAAAAATCTCCCATTTGGTTTAGTATCAATTTAGCCTATGCAGTGCAAAAAATCCCAAAAAATCTCCCATTTGGTTTAGTATCAATTTAGCCTAACTCGCACACGTCCATAGTAGTATTTTAGTATTTTAACCTCCGCATATATAATTTTCTGAATTTTATTTATTATTTGTTTTGCGGAAATAGCTTTCCTTTCGTCTGTAGTATCTGTAGTAAGGCATGCATTTAGAAAAGGATATTATTATTTCTTTTCTATCTATTTTCATAATTGAACTCACCGAAGTGAACAGAAAAAAAGTTTCTTCTGCTGTTAACTCAAGTCAAAGAGGGAAATCTGTTTTTGCACCAATGAAATAAGATACCATAAGCAATATCTTTGGCGATTCAGGACAAAATAATGCGGTGAAAGCTTTTAACATAATTAAAGGATAATGTACATACAAAAAATGCATAAACAAAAAGTTAAATTGAAAGGTAAAGTAAAAACTTTCGGAAAAAAAAAACCATAAAAAATGGAATCGAAAGTGGAGTAAAGTTACGAAATTTCTTTGTGGTTACTTATGCATTTTGATTGTACATGGCATCGCATCGTACCGCATTCCTCCGCACCGTGAAGTGGTTGTTCCTGGCTCTGTTTTCGGTTTGCTGCTCTCGGAAACCTCAATTGTGTTTCAGCAAAATTATGTTGATCCTAAGTGCAGTCGTTGGAGCTGTGCGTAATGGCGATAGTTTCCCAGTTACGGTTTATAGTTTTTGCATTCGCAATTTCTTTAAAAACACAATTTTGCATTCCACGATTTTTTATAAGCTTTTAAATACATTAAAATTTCGGGGCAGTAGAGCAAACTGCTCTATAAAAAACAAAAAAAAATAAAAAATTAATAAAATGAAAATTAATAGGAAAATAAGTGCTCAGAAGTCAACAAATAGCGATTACGGAAATATGCAATATTTTTACAGCTTCCAAATTCTGTTTTAAATTCAATTGCTTGTAAGCAAAAAACTAGAAAACAATTTAAAACAAGAAAAATGAATTTAAAAACTTAAAAGCACAACAAAAATTTCTGTAAAAAATTCTAAAACTATTTCACGTACCGTAGCCTTTGCGAGGTGCAGGATGCACTCCATAAGGCACGTCCTCCATTAACACTTCCTTCTTAAACAGAGTATAAAAATGCTCATTAAACTAATTGGCACAGCAATCAAAGCGTTCCAGTGTTCACTTGTTCTGCTAATTCGGACATTTTAGATATGCAACAGCGGTACCGTTACGCTTTAGTAGTTCCCGGAGAGTCAATAGCGCTATGTCGTACATTTTCAATCTCAACTCAAGTTGTTCTCCATATATATGTATATTTATTTTTATTTTTATTAAACAGAATTACAAGTAGAAATTCTATTAGTTTCTTTTCTTCTTTTAGCGACAATATTGCAAAGCGCTTACGAGTGAAAATATCTTAGAACATAGTATCTTAGAAAGTATCTTAGAGCATAATAAATTTTTAATAAAATTTTAATTAGCAAAGTACCAATATGTTAGTTTTGTGGCCAAAATTTGGTGGAATCAGTGCTTAGCCATAGACAACCTCGCACACGAACTCGTAAGGCCCGGATCCCTCACACAATACATTAGATTGAAGCTTTATTGTGGAATAAGTAGATCATAAGACAGGGCTATGATGGAAAAGAAGATTACAACTACTTAATGGCAAGTAATTTGGCGGGTCATCATTATTATTAATTTAATTATTATTAAAGAGTAGACGTGAAAATTGCCCAAAGGCCGGTACTGCGGCCAGGAGAGACCTATTGTACCAGTTTCACTATTGATTAAACAAAGCCCCTTAAAGCTTTGTGAATAAAGTCTAAAACTAAATCTAGAGAAGAGTTCTTAATCTGTTCTAGTGACAGAAATTCTTTATGAAACAGATTTCTTCTGTGCATTATTAAAGCTGGACAGTCACAAAGAATGTGTATGGTCGTTTCCTCATCTTCGAGGCATAATCTGCTTTCCGAGTTAGCAGATAATTATAGCTTATGAAGGTGATATTTCAGACCATAATGACCTGTAATGAAACCCGTTATCAACCTTAAATTACATTTTGAGAATTTAAGAATTTATTTGTAGGAGTACGGTGTTATCAGTGCTTTGCTTTGTCTGAGTCCTGGAAAGTTTACCCAGTACTCCAGCCGCATATGATTTTCCATTTCCT